TGCTCCTTGCTATTTGTGCTTTTCTTTTGCTTGCTATATGAGTCATAATAAACTCACTCATTCACAATCAAAAGTGTGGTTAACAAAGATTATCTCCAGACTGTACAGGACAGGGCTGGTGCAGTAAGTTAGGTCATTCAGGAAAGAAGAAGCAGGGCACAGTTGAAGGGACTGGACCTCAGCTCCTCTGCCGTTTGTTTCCTTGCTGTCATGAGGCAAGCAGGTCTCCAGTGTCATGTGTCTCCTGCCCTGGTTGTGCTGGCACAAGCCCAGAGCAACACAGCCAAGTGACCATGGACTGAAATTCTGAAGTTGAATCAAAATAAGCTTTTCCTCCTCCTTATAAGTTCATTATATTGGGTATTTTGTCACAGTAGCTTTCAGAAATTTCATTTTCCTATCATTCTGTAAGTTTTATTCAGAGAGCAATCTAAATCTATTCTTTTGTATTCAAAGTTTTAGTTGTCCCTAGCATCACTTATTTTTTTCCTCACTGAGTTATTATTGCATTCTTTGTTGAAAATTAGTTAGCCATGGATGTGAACATTGATTTTATTTTACTTTTATTTATTTTATGTGCATGGCTATCTTTTCTGCAGGTATATCTGCATCATGTATGTGCCTAGCGCTCAAGGAGGTCATGGAGGTCATGGGATCCCCTGAGATTGGAGTTACAGACACCTTAAGCTTCCATGTGGGTGCTGAGGATAGAATTAGGGTCCCCTGTAAGAACAGCCAGTACTCTTAACTGCTGAGCCATATCTCCAGCTCCAACACTGATTTTTGATCTCTGTGTTCTGTTTCATTAGTAGATGTTTTTCCCTAGTGCTACCATGCCATCTTGATGGTCCTTGAGGCAGGGGTGCCAGAGAGAGAGCCGGAGAACTGGGCCCAGTGAGTTGGCGGTGGTGCCATTTGAGTACCTGTCTTGGTTGGCTTTTGTTGTTGTTGGGTTTTTGGCTTTGTTTTATTTTTTTGTCAACTTGATACAAGCTAGAGTCATTTGAGAAGGAAACTCAGTTGAGAAAACACCTCCATAATAATGGCCTGTGGTTAAACCTGTGGGGCATTTTCTTAGTGACTGCTGTGGGCGGGCCCAGCCCCTGTGGGAAGGCCCAGCCCCTGTGGGAATGCTAAGCTTGGGCAGATTGCCCTGGAATGTGTAAGGAAGCAGGCCGAGCAGACCATAGGAACCAAGCCAATAAGCTTCATTCCTCCAAGACCTCTGCTTCACTTCCTGACTCCAGGTTCCTGCCTTAAGTTCCTAGCCTGACTTCCCTCCATCATGGACTTTAAGCTGAAATAAACCTGTCTTCCCTAAGTTGCTTTTGATGAGGGTATGTTATCACAGCAATAGAAACTCTTAACTGAGATAAATTGGTGCTGGAAGTGGAGTATTGCTGTGACAGATCTAACCATTTTGTCTTCAGGAGGATTGTGGAAGGACTTTGAAACTTCGGGCTGGAGAAGCCATGGGTACTTAGAGCTTAATGGCTGTTCTGTGGAGCTTGGAAGATAAGAGTTCTGGAGAAATGTAGATGATGGAGGACTGGCTCGTAACATTTGAGAGCCACTCAAAGATTTTCAGGACAGTTTGTGTAATATGTTTTGAATTAAGAATCTATGGTGTCTGGTCAGTTGCGGCTGAAGAATCAGCTGTGACTAATAAGAGACTAGAACCACTAAAGTGAAACTTCTGCTTTACTGGGACAATCGGTGCTTGTTTGCTAGAGTTGAGAAATACATAGTGATTAGTAAGAGACCAGCGTTAGAAACTGATCCAGAGAGAGCCATAGCTGCATCAAGCTGGCAGCCAAACTTGATCCTGTGTAAGAGTCTCCTTCATGTTACTGATTTTGGTGGCGTGAGCGCTGTAGGATTTGAAGGGGTTGTGGAGAGCAGCTGAGGCCTGGTGTTGTGAGAAGTCATTGGTTAGGGCAGCCTCAGTTGCAGTGGAAACTCCAGGATCAGAGGGGTCGTAGAGAGTGACTGAGGCTTGGCGCCAGCCATGTGGCAGAGGCCGAGGCCATGAAGAGAGCCCATCAGAGGCTATTGGTGAAGGTGTGGCCCAGTTGCCATGGAGACACCAGCATATTTGGAGGTGCCAGGATCATGGGATGATAGCAATGGATGCAGCTGGTCTGAGCCTATGAGACAAGCTCTGTGTTCTGTGGATAGCAGGACTGGAGAAATAGAGCTGTAAATGAAAACGAGGACACAACCACCGTTCCAGGGTATGGTTGGGGAGAAGGATTTTTTTATAGGTATGAGAGAGAAGACAGCCGGAGACATCTGGAAGGGTTCAGACTGAACAGGGTCATGAGAGGAGAAGGAGGTTAGAGCAAGCAAGAGAGGAAGAGAGGAGAAAGGAGAGGGGACCAAGAGGACGAAGAGAGAATGTGACCCAATGGCAGGGTTGTATAGGAAAAGAGAAGCTTAGGGAAGGGGAGGGAAAGGGAGGAAGGAAGAAAGGGGGAAGGGAAGGCAAGGCAAGGCCAGAAGTGCTGAGAGGAGTTACGAGTGCTGAGTGAGCTTAAAGGCCAAGCGCACGCTTTGGTTTGCTCATAGGCACCAGGGTTGGCCATTTGTCCTGTTTCTCTGGGATGTGACAAGGTGCCTAGGTCAATGGAAGTCCAGAAGATTGTGAGTCCCAGATAACTGTGCCCCTTCTTAAAGTAAGAAAATATTTTTTAAAAAAGGGGGGAAGAGAGACGCACAGTTAAGAGACTTTGGAGTATTAGACATTGGAAATTTTAGAGAGGTTTTTAGACTTTTTAAAAGACTGAACTTTTAAAGTATTTGAATTTTTAAAGACTGGGATAAATTGGGGTTTGGAGACATATGACCCTGTCTCGAAAAATTAAATTAACTTAAAAAAAAAAAAGAGTATGGGAACTGGGTGATAGCTGTCATGAAATATAATGTGGTGAGGGGTTATTTTTGGTGGGCCCATGCAGGGTGTACCCCTGAGAGATTACACCATGCAACACATCTGGTGCAAAAGAGGTTTATTGGAGGAGGGGAGAGGAGTGAGGACCTGGAGAAGGGATGGAGACAGACAGGTGGACATGTAGGTAGACAGACAGGGAGCAGAGAGAAAGCTGTGAGGGCAGAGAAAGGGGCCGCAGACAGAGGGGGAGACTGAATGGAGAGAGAGAGAGCTGGGTGGGCTACTGGTCCTTTTATCCACAGCGCACACCTGGCGCACCTGGTGATGATGTAAGCAGTTGCAGGGTCCTGAGAGCCGGCCAGTGGAATTGCCTGTACACTAATAGTGGTGGGGTACGCCTTTAATCCCAGCACTCAGGAGGCAGAGGCAGGTGGATGTCTGCGTTCAAAGACATCCAGGTCTATAGAGTGAGTTCCAGGACAGCCAGGGCTACACAGAGAAACCCTGTCTCAGAAAAACAAAGCAAAACAAAAGACTGGGACTTTTAGTTTGCAGTGTGTTTTATATTGAGATACTGATACTAATATGAGATCTTTGTGCATGAACAAGAAAAGAAAGGTTAGAATTGAATAGTCATGTGATTTGTGTGTCAGATTGGCAAGGAGTCTTGCTTTGTTTTTTGTTTTGTTTTTCTGTTTATCAACTTGAAGCAAGCTAGAGTCATCTGAGAAGAGGAAATACAATTGAGAAAATGCTTCCTTAAGACTGACCTTTAGGCAAGCCTGTGGGGCATCTTCTTAACTAGTGATGGATGTGGGATGGCCTGCAGGTGGTCCTGGAAAGTGTAAGGAAGCAGGCTGAGCAAGCTATGGGGAACAAGCTAGCAAGCATCATTCCTCCATGGCCCCTGTTTCTGTTCCTGCCTCCAGTTTCCTGCTTTGAGTTCCTGTCCTGAGTTCTCTTTGTCATGGACTATATGCCAAAACAAAGCCTTTCCTCCCCTGCTTTTGATGATGGCGTTTTATCAGTGATAGAAACCCTTACTAAGACAGTTCCATATCATCTGATAATTGTTTTTTTAATTGTGAAATATTAGTACTTCAAACTTGCATTACATTCTCAAGATGATTTTAGGTCCTTTGACTTTTTGTGTGAATTTTAGTGTGTTTGTCAACTGCTGAGAAGCCAGCTGGATTTTGATTGGGATTGCATTGAATCCCGTAGACCAGCAGGGAAGTGGTGCTGTCTGAACAATATTCTGTCGTCTCATCCATGAAAAGAGATCCAGTGGGGCCCCTTCCTCCATTTATCTACATGTTTATGTAACTTCAATGTGAGTGGCGAATGCCTACCTTGGTCTGCATAGAGAGACAGAGGACAGTCTTTGGTGCTTATGTTCCCCACCTAAGGCAAGGCCTCTGTGATTATATAAACCAGGTTGTGCTGTGCAGACTTCCCGAGGTCTCCTGTTCAGTCTCTCCTTTCCTGTAGGTGTGCTGGGGTTACAGGCACTTTATTACTGCCTCCAACTTTACATGGGTTCCAGGGATCTAGACTCAGGTCGGTGTGCTTGTGCAGCAAGCAGCTTTACACACTGAGCCACCTCCCCAGCCCTGGTATTTTTCTAATTACTTCTTGTTAAACAACCCCCCCCCCTTTTTTTCTAATTTTTTCCTCTCTAGTAAGAAAATAATGTCCCTTTGGCTTGGAAGGCATCTTCATATAACCTCTTATTTGAAGTGGAGTGTGGCGGTGCTTGGTTATCATTCTGGCTACTCTGGAAGCCAAGGCAAAAACTCTCAAGTTCAAAGCCAACAATCCCTTGCTTGCCACCTCACTCCAGTCTCTGCCTCTGTTGTTATGTGGCTGTCTTCCCTCTGTGCGGTTTTTTTTGTTGTTGTTGTTGTTGATTTGTTTTTTCCTCTTGTTGTAAGGACACAGTCACTCCAGGTAAAGGTCTTGTCCTACTCTTGACTTACATCTGCAAAGACCCTGTTTGCAAATAGGTCGTTTACATGCAACCAAGCACTAGGACTTCACATATCAGAAATACTGTCCAACCCACAGCAGGCAATGACAGCTTTCCCTCCTTTCTCTCTTCTCTGACCAGATGCCCTTCGCAGGCCCATCTCATGGCCCTCGTGTCTGCTGATTCCCGAATTGCAGAGCTTCTCACAGAGCTCCACCAGCTGATCAAGCAAACCCAGGTGAGAGCAAGGCTTGGGCTGTGGCACTAAGCTGTGCAGAGGTAGGCTGTTCAGGGAGACCTCAGTGCATGAGCGAAGAGCGCATAAAGTGGGAGGCGGGATTCTTGTCTCTGACTGCTGTTTCTGTTGGGTTTTCTGTCAAGTAAAGATTTCAGGTCCACGAGGCTCACAGTGCGCTGCACGCAGGGGAAGAAGCCCACACCTGTTTAAGACACCTAACTGCCCTGTTAGGTCAGGGTTTAAGCTCTTTTTTTCTCCCCCCACAATGGATGGTTTTAGAGTTGCTTAGCGTTTTTTGCTGAGGCCTGCCTGACTCTAGAGGCCCTGTCTCTAGGTTGACTTCCATCCTTTGCCTTTTTCCTGTAAGAGAACTCAGCTTTGATCATCTTATCTAATAAATGATCTCTCCCCTCAGCATGCAGCCCCTCATTGATCATGAATTTGTCTGGTCTCACGATGCACAGGCCACCTTCTGCCTCTTCCCAAGGCCCCTTTCTGTCTGTGGGCCAGTGTTTCCTCTGCCAGTCATGTTCATATGTATACCGATGGCCTGGGTACAGCAGCAAGGGCACACGTTTCATACCACAAAGTGCGTAATGCCGCATTCAGGACTAAGAGGTGACATTCACGTGTGTCTGCAATTTGTCCCCGTGGGTACCAGGGAATTGGGTCTGCCCGGTGATGGCTAGTGCTCTCATCTTTTTTCGGACTTTGATTTTTGATTATGGGTGAGTGCCTACATGTATGTTTGTTGATTACATGTATACCTCCTGCACCTAGAGCCTAAAAGAGGTCATTCATCAGACTCAGAACCTTTGTCCTCTGGGATAATAGCCAGCTAACCTAACTGCTGAGCCATCTCTTCAGCCCTTAGTGCTCTAAATCTCATTTCCTCCTACATTTTAAAATAGCTTTTTAAAAATATGTGGCATGTGTTTGTGCCTGTAGCGCACTGTGACATGTTGGGTGTGCCATTGCTCTATTTTGTTTACTATTACCAGGGACCTTGCCAAGCATTTGCTCATTATATTGTATGTGTGTGAGAGAGAGATTGTGTGTGTGTGAGTGTGTATGTGGTTGTTTTGTTTTTTGAGACAGTGTCTCTCTATGTAGACCAGGCAGGCCTAGAACTTGGAGACCTGTCTGCCTCTTCCTCCCAAGTGCTGGGATCAAGGGCGTGTGCCACCATGCCTGGCTTATTGGTGTTTGTAGTCACACTGGTTGTTCTGCTGAACCACTGGCCCTAAAATACCGGTGCATACTTGCTAAGTGAAAAGGTTCCAGTGGCTTACATATACTTCACTCCAGCTGTGTGACAATTCCAAAAAAGACAAAACTGGAGAAAGTCAAAGGATAAGTTATTGCCAGAGCCCTGGGAGAACCGGGATGGGATGAGAAGTTCAGACTCCCATGGAGGCTGTTCAGAGAAGTGGGACTTCTGTGTGATACTGTAATGATAGCTATACAGCTGAAGCATCTGTCAAAAGCCACAGGACAGTGTGACGCAGAGGGAGCCTTAATGTAGACAGCGGGCTTTTGTTAGTATAAAAGGTCTGTCTCACGGCCTCTCGACTTATCCTTACAGGAAGAGCGTTCGAGGAGTGAGCACAACTTGGTGAACATCCAGAAGACCCACGAGCGAATGCAGACGGAGAACAAGAGTGAGTGACCGAGGGTGGGAGAGAAGGGAGGTGGACGGAGCCGAGACCAGAGCATGGGCTTAGTGTGTCTTCAGAGCGATTTTCACTTCATCTGCATATTCCAAAGTTGCTCTTAGGGCCATTGTTTCTTTTGGCTGAATGACCTAAAGTGACAGGGACTGACGACAGACTGCCTTGCATCAAAGGACCTCAGAGATCCTCAGCTCAGGACTGGAAACTTGAACATACATTTCTTGTATACATGAAAACTCTCCCTTATCTTAGAGCCCCCTGGGCACAGGGCTTTTCTGGAGTACAGCTGGCTGTGGCCTCTGAATAGGCCCCAAGGCAGGCCACACCCCTCTGCCTGAGGCTTTCTAACTCTGAATAGCTTTGGGCAGTGCATACTTCTTGGTTTCTGCACTTGTCATGGTATAGACAGGTAACAGGTTAGAACATGCTTTTCAAGAACATGTCTTTACCGTATGGAAATGTGACCATGTTGAGCAGGGAGCACTTTTTAAATTTATGTTGGGGGGGGGGCACATATATGTACTTGTATATGTGTGTAGAGGAGGCCAACCTCATGTTTCATTCTTCAGGCACCAATCCCTTTTTGGTTTGTTTGCTTACTTGTTTTGAGGCAAACTATGTCCCTATGGAGCTCTGCCTGTCCTAGAACTCACTGTATGAGGCTAAGCTGGCCTTGAATTTACAGATATCCTCCACCTGGCTCTGCAAGTGCTGAGATTAAAGCAAAGGCTTCATCTGGCATGCCTGGCCTTTTTTTTTTTTTTTCCTTGGGGAATAGAGTTTGGTTCCTGGTACTTGCTCCTGGGAGCATGTTTGAACTCCTAAAGCCTAGATTTCAGGCCCTGGCCTCTGAGCTTCCTCAAGCCAATTCTGGTGGTCTGGAACCAGAGCCACATACTGCAATCTCCTTTTGCTCATACCTCCTCATCCTTGTATTTACAGTTTCTCCGTATTACCGGACAAAGCTGCGTGGCCTCTATACAACTGCCAAGGCTGATGCTGAGGCCGAATGCAAGTGAGTACCACCCTCGGGTGCTGCTGCTCTGTTCCTGGCCTCTGGGGCTGCGCCACATAGGAGACCACAGTTTGCCTTCCACCCGTGAAGAGGCCCCTGCTTAGCCTCTCCCACTCTTGAACCTTCCCAAGCTCTTCTTCCTTCATTACCCATTCTTCCCCTTTAGCTTAGTGGTTTATAGATGGCAGTAAAGCAGCGTCATGTCCCTGCCTGTAGTTTTCTGGTCATATGACCTGCCAGTCAAGTCAGTCGAAACCCTGTTGCCCTGTCGTTGAAATCAGGATAATACCAGTCTACTAGATTGTGAACTACAGTGGGATTATGTAAAGAGAATGCCAGATTTCACAAACTGCTCTGACCCTCCCGCCGCTATGGAAATACACTGACTAGTGCAGCCTGTAATGACAATAGGGACCACTGTGTGGCAGCACTCTGTTCCTGGTACCATTCCAAGTACTTTCTTTCTTTTTCTTTTTCTTTTTTCTTTATCTGACACAGAGCCATACTACATAGCCCTGATTGGCTCACCATGTAGACCAGGCTGGCCTCCAACTGTTAGAGATTGGCCTCCCTAGTACTAGGATTAAAGGCATGCACCCCCATAGCTGGCCCAAATACTTTGTGTATTTGTTTATTTCACTTGATTCTCAAAGCACTCCTTCGTTGTAGTTTATAGTGTCCCAATTTACTGTCAAGAAAACTAAATCATAGAAGGATTATAAAATCCGTACAACTAGCAAATGAGAAGCTTGGCTCCTAAGGCAGAAATCCACACAGCTTGCTAGGTGCTGAACAGGATTTCTCTTCGTAGCTTTGGCTGTCCTGGACTCGCTTTTTAGACCAGGCTGGCCTTGAACTCACAGAGATTTGCCTGCCTCCGCCTCCCTGAGGGCTGGGACCAGGGATCAGAGGTGTGCACTACAGCAGCTAGCTAACAAAATGGATTCTTGTGAATGCCTTTCGCCTTCACCCCGGCCAGAGTAGCTTACATAAGTCAGAGTGCTGCGTGTGTTTGTTTTTCCAGATTTTGTATATTTTCCTTTCGTAGTGCTGGGGATGGGACCCAGCCCTTTAAGCACACTGGGCATGCTCTGTGCCAAGTCACACCCCAACTCTTCATAGAGTGAAAAGCAAACTGCCCCTTCCTGTCCTCCTGCTGGCGGAGTGGAGCCTCAGAAATGAATTTGTTGTGAAATGACTCTGGCAAGACTTACCCAGTGATCAGCACATTAGAAAGCTGTTTGGAAAACATGGGCCTACATTGAAATCCTTTTGCTAATTTAGATTTTCAGGCTCTTAATATAGTCAACCTGTAAACACCCAAAGACCTTCCCAACCCAGCAGCTGGGAGAGAGAAAGCAAGCAAGAGAGATGAAGCAAGAGAGTACCCCCCACTCAGGCTACTCTCCATCTAGGTCAGACAAACCCGTGCCACTGGGTGATACTGAATTCATCTGGGTGATATGTAATCAACACCATGCCGTTTCCTGTATTTCATGTACATTTTTAAATTTATTACCTATCATATAAATTGAGACGTGATTATAAAAGTGTAATAGTCTCAAAATTAGAACATTCATATCTAAAACCGTGACCCAGAGAACGGATTCATGTTTCCTCCTGAGACAGGCTCTGTTATAGTGCAGACCTCAGTTGTCAGTGTCTTGTCTCCAGTCTAGCTTGATCTGGACCAGCTTTCAGGTTCTCTTTAGCCCTTTGTGATTGACCTTCTGGAGGTTATGCATTAGTTATTCTGTAGTAGGGCCTCCAATGGGTGTGTTTAGTGCTTCAGGCATTAGTAACACAACAGTAGCTTTCTATTACAAGGCCCGAGATACTATTTATTGCTTGGTGTGGGATGTCCCAGGTTTCTGTTTTCCATTGTATAATCAGCAAATGTGTTGTTGGGAAATGCTTTGTGACTATTTTGAATACACCATTTCACATTACCTATCAGTTTAAATGTCCCTTCCATTTGTTTGTTTGTTTGTTTGTTTGTTTGTTTGTTTTTCCTGGAGCATTGGGCTGGGTTCTTGGCAGGTTTTGTTGTTTCCTTTGATGTCATATAGACTGCAACTTTGGACTTACGACGTGAAACTATATTTTGCAAATAGGCCCCAGCAACATCAGCCTTTCACAGTACCTTTGGCCTCCTGACCATTTATTGCTTTATGGGGGTACCTCACTCTCTGAGTCTTAACACTGTCATGCTAAAGCTTTACTAAGGGTTTGTGGAACCAGAATGAAATGACCCACAGTGGAGTTGTTCCTGCTGATTAAGGTTGAAGCCTTCTCTGGGAGATTTCACGCCTGCCAGCTCGCCTGCCAGCCTGGAACCCTAGTAAATTGACTTCTGGAGGTCCAGGCTAACAGGCTGAACAGGAGTAGGAATGGCTTCAGTCTCACAGGGATGAGTCCTGTAACCTGGGGCTGCTCTGAGCTGCACTGGTCTTTCTAGGCCCCTGGGGTGTTCTGCTTCTCCCCCTGGAACAGCCCCTAGAGTTTCACTATCTTACTTACACCTCACTGTATTGAAATTCCCAAAAGAAACCACTTAATGGAGGAGGATTTATTTTGGCTTCATGCTTTGAAGCCAAAGCATGTCTGTCATGGTAGGGAAGCTGTGGCAGCAGGGGCAGGAGGCTGCTGGCTACATGACATTGTACTTAGGAAGCTCAGGCCAGAACCTGTAAGGTCAGCAGTCCACCAGGCCACTTCCTTTACCAAGGCCCCACCTTGTTAAGGATCCACAGCCTCTGCAAAAAGCTCTAGCCAAGGACCGCCTGTTCAGACACACGAGCCCATTAGGACGTGGCATTCTCAAGCCAGAACTTCCTTCTTACCATTGAGGAGTGTCAGAGCTTTGGCAGGATTTCTGCAGAACTGGCGAAAGCAGTGTCAGTGACTCTCAGTGCACCTGCTTGAGTTGTGTCTTCCACTTTCTACTGCGTTGCCCTTTGTGCTTTTGTTGTTGTTTGTTTCTTTATTCATTTGGTTTATTATTTATTTTTTATGCAGCATTCTACCTGCATGTGTGCCTGTGCACCAGATCTCACCATAGATGGTTGTGAGCCACCATGTGGGTGCTGGGAATTGAACTCAGGGCCTTTGGAAGAACAGCCAGTGCTCCTAATCTCTGCGCCATCTCTCCAGCCCCTGTTCATTTGTTTTTGACGCAGGGTTTCACTCTGTAGCTCTGGCTGTCCTGGGCATGCTTTGTAAACCAGGCCGTCTTGGAATTCTCAGAGGTACCTCTGCTTCTGCCTCTCCAGCGCTGGGACTAAAGGCGCGCCACCATGCCTGGCTGCTGTCTATGCTTTCACGATTGAAAAACAGGGTTGCCTAGCTTGCAAGCGGCCGTTGGTTCCTTCTCTAGCACTGAGAAAGAAATCGCAGTCATTGTTTAGTTAATGTTCTGAGACTCGTCATTTGATGAGTATCACAGAGCCCTGACACAAACTTAGAGGCGCTGACACCCACTGTGTCCTCTTACACGATAAAGAGACATGTAAGGTAGCTGCCAGTGTCTCATGTATTTTTTTCAAGAGTGCAAGTTAGTAAATGTCTAAACCAGTGGCATAGTCATTACTATAATCAAGGGTGACTGAGTGTACATGACTGGATGTGTCCTGCTTGTATGCGACTGTCAGTACAGAGCATATAACGTTACACTGCGACGTTAAGCTGTACAATTTGTTTGTCTTTATTATCCCATGGGGCCTCTGTCACAGGATTATGACATATACAGACCAGTTGACTGAGCTATTTGGGATAATATTGTCGTTTCCTTCCTCTCTTCTTTATTTGTTATTTATATGATGTTGTGTGTGCATGTGGTTTATGTGTTTATGCAGTATGTACATACGTTTGTGTAGGTCCCCAGGCATGTGAGTGTGAGTGCACGTGGCTGAGCGTGCATGTGGAGGTCAGAGGTCGACATTAGATGTCTTCCTTGGTTATTGTCCTCCTTAGGTCTCTCACTGAGCCTGGAACTCACTGATTTGGCCAGGCTGATTGGCTCGTGAGCTCAAGGGATCCTGCTGCCTCTGTGGTAACCCGTGCTGGGATTGTAGGCACACACCGTGGTGTCTGGCTTCCATACGGCTGTCAGGCTGGCACAGCAGGTCCCTAACTCCTTGGGGCATCTCTGCAGTCTCCTTTTGTGTTGGAAGCAAGGCCTCACTCTAGCCCAGGCAGAGCTGGAGCTCATTGTGTAGCTAAAATGACGTCAAACTCAGAACAGGGTTGCAGCAGCCGCCTAAGTGGTGGGATTGCAGGTGTCAGCCACCGCCCCCGGCAGGGTCTGTCGTTTTCAGCCTGGACGTGGTCTGGGGAACCCACACCCCACGAAGCCTATGCTGAATGCTCACCCAGCATGCTTTTCTCCCTTTCTTGCCCAGCATCCTCCGCAAAGCACTGGATAAGATAGCGGAGATCAAGTCTCTGTTGGAAGAGAGGCGGATTGGTGAGTGGGAGAAAATAAAATGCAGGGCTTTTCTTGACCAGGCAAAGTTGGGACTTGGGGGATAGCAGTCATGGTCCCTGGCAGGGGAGCATGGGACACAGTGGAGTCACCCCACAGGGCTGTCTGAAGCAGAGCTTGCCCAGGTCTCTGTCTCACCCCTCACACTGCCCTTGCTCATCCTTGCCAGGGCTGGTCATCTCTCTCCTTTCTACAATCTGTCACTTTGTATTCCCACGCGAGCCACACATTTGAAGCCGGCTTAGGCCCCTTCCTTTTAGGTCTCCTCAGGTACCATTTCCTTGGCTTCCTGACCTCTGTCTTGCCCCAGGGGCAACTCTTTGCCTCTTAGTGTGATCACGGTACCATTTTTCTTTGTTTGTTTTTGTTTTGTTTTGTTTTCAGTTGAAGAATGTGATGAGCCATGGCTGACGAGGCCAAGGGTCTACACTAGATAACCTATGCAACTTTTGCAAAAGGTCCATACACTAATGAAAGGAGACCCACATAGATGTATCATTCTAGGAGTTTTCATTGACCCAGCACATTTGCCTATCTAGCACCCATCAGGAACCAGAGTGAAACCTGCATCCAGGAAGCCCCCCCCCCCCATGTACATTTTTAGTTCTTCTTTATGAAGGGGCCACCGTCCTGACATCTCACCCATTTGTGAGTTAGACCTGTCAATTCCTTAGACATCAGCCTCGGGTGTCTGTTAGAATGGATATGGATGAGGTTCGGGGATCCCAGCATAATGTGCTCTACCTCAGAGCAGCTACTGGGCTGTGACGGGGTCAGGCACCACCCACAGGGCCTCAGAGGTTCACTTGCTTCCCACAGCGGCCAAGATCGCAGGTCTCTACAATGACTCGGAGCCGCCAAGGAAGACCATGCGCAGAGGGGTGCTGATGACGCTGCTGCAGCAGTCAGCCATGACCCTGCCCCTCTGGATCGGGAAGCCTGGTGACAAGTAAGGGCAGGAACTAGCCAGGGAGGGCTGGTGTCAGGGGTCCAGACTAACAGGCTTTCTCCACAGGCCCCCACCCCTCTGTGGAGCCATTCCAGCCTCAGGGGACTATGTGGCCAAACCTGGAGACAAGGTGGCTGCTAGAGTGAAGGCTGTGGAAGGGGACGAGCAGTGGATCCTAGCTGAAGTAGTCAGTTACAGCCACGCTACCAACAAGTGAGTGTGCCTGACTGCATTCTCACCACAGCAGCTTCCACAGCATGGGAGGGAAACTTTCCCCAGAGGGTGATGGGTGGGCTCCCTCGAGCTTCTTCAGCCAGTCATCCTCAGTCCCGAATGCAAACTGTACCCTTTGTCCCAGCACCATTTCTTTTTTTGTTTGCCCACAGGTATGAGGTAGATGACATTGATGAAGAAGGCAAAGAGTGAGTATCCAGGTGGGGCGCAAGCTTCACCAAGCTTCTGGAGAAGCCTTGCTGGTCATACCTATATTGTTTCCCCCAGGAGACACACCCTGAGCCGTCGGCGAATCATCCCACTGCCCCAGTGGAAAGCCAACCCTGAGACAGACCCTGAGGCCTTGTTCCAGAAGGAGCAGCTGGTGCTGGCCCTCTATCCCCAGACCACCTGCTTCTACCGTGCTCTGATCCACACACCCCCCCAGCGGGTAAGGAGCCACCGTGGAAGGTCTTTAATGACACCAGACCCTTAAGTATTGATCCCCATCACTCTTCCGGATACCTGCCCGGTGCTTTCTTACTGTCCTTCGTCTCTTAAACATAGGCTTCCTCTTGACTCCAAAGCTCAAGAGGTAGGCAGGTGCATCTAGGGCTCAGGGCAAGGAGAGGCTGCCCTGGCACAGAAGCATCTTGACCAGGCCTTCCTGTGTGCATCCCACAGCCTCAGGATGACTACTCGGTCCTGTTTGAAGACACCTCCTATGCAGACGGCTACTCCCCTCCCCTCAATGTGGCCCAGAGGTACGTGGTGGCTTGTAAGGAACCCAAGAAAAAGTGAAACGAGCTGACAGCCTCATGGGAGAAGACAACAAAGAAGTTCCTATAATCAAATAAACACTCTTCCCCCTCACCATGTCTCCTGGGCCTCACTGCTTCAGACCCTCTTGCCATCCCTTATCAGGCACGTGGGATTGATGGCCGCAGGAGGGAGGAAGCCCAGTCAGCTCCCAGTGGCATTTATTCTTTCAGGTAAAATACAGTTTATCTCTTCTGTTTTTGCATGTTTGTACTTTGAGGTTTTTTTTTTTTTTTTTTTTTTTTTAAGTGCTAGGATCGATTATTGCTTTCCTGACACATGTTGATAAAGCCCTCTGCCTTCAGCCTATTCATTCTCCTGGCTCAGATTTCCTGTAGGCACACATTAGTCTGGGTTGGATACATCACATTTTACTCTTGAGGTCATGAGGGATCATGTCAGCTCGCCTTGGTTCCCAGTGTAGCCATATCCACTCACAGTTCCCAGCGGAACTTGAGGTCACAACCTGCCATCGTCTTAGCATAGTGGGCATCAAAGTGCTCGTTCTGAGCCACGGTGAAGGTGTTTTTCCAGTCCCCAGCGATACCTGCAGAGAGAGACCGAGACAGAGAAACCAGATTCATAGCCACAGGAGAGGGCCCACGTGACTGCACCCAGCCTCCCTTCCACAAATACTCCCAGTGCCCATGCAGACGACTGCCCACCTTTCCTCAAAAAGGGAGAAACACCGTGGTCCATAACATCGTTGGGGATGGTGGTGTAGTTACTCATGGGGTTCTCCTTCATTTTCTTGAAGGATGTGTGGTGAACAATGAGATCCACAGTCTCCTCAGGCAGAGAACGCCCCAGAAACTCTAGGACCTTCTTGATCTCCCTTTTTGGGTTCTGGAGCAAGGAGAGGATCTTAGTTTGCATGCTTATTGGAATAAGATTGGAGGGTCACCCGCAGGGAGCAGGTCACTTCTCTCAAGGAGTTCTCAGACCTGGTGCCCTCACTCTGACTGAGCCTCTTTCCCTGGGGTGAAAAGGTAGCTTCCTACCCTGCCATTTTGGCATGATCCCTGTGGGTTTCTTCTGGGAGAGGACAGGGCAGACTTTGGTTGCTGGTGCGTAGGCTTGGCACCTCTGGAGCAGGGAGAAGCAAGAGCAGCAATAACGGCACATATGGCTGACACTTACTCCATGATAAGGGCTGTGCAGCACTCTCTGCTGAGCTGTGCTGTGGTCCTACGTCAGGAGGTGGGATAGGAAGTGCTGGTCTGGAGTGGGGCTAGGATAGGATTGGGGCCCAGAGGGCCAGGACAGGGCCAGGTGCAGTTGCTGCCCACCAGCTGTGACACAGGAGGGAGTGGCAGCAGGTGGTCTCACCTCCTTCATGTCTTCATAGAAGAGATAGAGAATGGGATGATTGTGTCTCAGCTCCCACCATTCCTTCACATGCTGGTACCACGACCCATAGGACACTGGGGAAGAGGACAGGGGAAGGACACGGGCCTTGTCAACACCAGCTGTGACTCCTAGGTCCAGCCCTCTGCTGCCTGCACACTCAGACCCACCTTTGCCGTCCATGAAGTTCTGCAGGAAGCTGTCCCAGGTGCCCGGATCAGGGTGCAGCTTGGCCATGTTGTAGAAGTTATAATAGGAGACAACCACATCCTTTGCATTTCGGGCAATGTAGATCACCTGCAGGGGCAGACAATTCTCACTTTTGGTTCCCCGTCCTGCTTTCCTGTCACCCTTCACAGGAACAAGTGAGTTGGGGTACCTTCTACCACTTGGGAATTCCCAGCACATTTGGGATGGCAGTAGAGAAAACAGGACTGGGAGTTAACTTACATCTCGTGTGGGTGTCACTGACCTCTGATGCCAAAGTCCTGGCCATCCCATTAGCCAACTGTTTTATCTGACTCCCTGTGGTCAGCACGTCCACACGGTAAGTCTGGGGCCCCACCAGCCCTTCTGTGTCCTGTGAGCACCTAGACTCTGCCTCTCTAGTTTACATGGAAGAGTTCAATTTTCCTTGTCATGTGAGCCTTGCCAGACAACCAGGGACCCTCCATATGAGACAAAAAACAGGCCTTGAGTAGTCCTGAAATCTCCAGAAGAACAAACCAAAGCTAGGATGATCCCGGGCCCCCCCTCCCCCGAACCCCTTTGCCTCTTCTTACCCCCCCTCCCTCCTTCCTTTTTATCTATCTTTTTGAGACATGGTCTTGAACTTGCTGCGTAGCAAAGGCTGACCCTAAACTTCCGATCCTTCTGCCTCTTCCCGATGCTGGAAGGTACTCCTATAATTGGGGGTTTTTGGTTGTTTATTTTTACCTTGACCTTCTGATCCAGCAGACTCCGAGGGAGCAAGGACAGGGGCAGATGTGTCTTCAGGAGCCGTGGGGCTGGTGTCTCTTCCAAAGTTTCAAGACCTACAGTTGAGCGGGAAACTTCGTTAAGCTGGGGCCTGGTCCTCCCTTTCTCCACTTGTCTCTAGCATCCCAGTGTACATACCTGAGGGAACCCCTGGGCATCTGAACTCAAGGAAGGGTACCCGTTGGTAGATGGGGGCCCGGCGACACTTTTCCAGCTTACCACCGTGATAGATCATGTCCAGGATCTCACTCATCCAGGTAGTACCTGGAAAGGAAGGAACAAGAGGTAGTGGGGCTCAGGGTCTGGACCTGCTTACCAAAGAGCGTATGTAAGGGGAACCCCTCCTCACCAGACTTCGGGTACGTGCTGATAAGCAAGTCATCAGGCAAGGGTGTCAAGTTCTGCAATGGCCCAATAGCCTCTGCGAAATACTTGATGAGTGGGACGCCCTTCACAGGCACCAGCGGTGGGCGGGATTTATCCTCAATCAGCTCCATGTTGCTGCGCTGAGAACAGAGTAAAACCTTTTCTAGCAAGGTCACAATACCATGTGCTGAACTCTTCCTTAAGATTGGGACCCTGAGGCTTTCACAGAGCTCACCAAGGTGGGCAGGTAGATCTGGGATCAAAGGCAAGTCTAACTCCAGCAAAAGTCGCTACTCTGGCAGCTATACCTCCGCTCACCTGCAGAATGCCCCATGCCCCTTGTGCCCAAGCAAACAGCCCAGGCATTAAAGCGCTCTGAGGCGGAACCAGTACAGTGTTTATGCTTTCCGGCATATCCCAGCAAGCACTTCAGAAAACTTTGGGCAGCCACTGGGTGTCTCTTACTGCTTCCTGGTGCAACTAACTGTAAGCTGATGGCCTGTGGGTGCCTCCCCACTCTACTCCCCCTTCTTGGGCTTCATCTTACTTTCAGAAATGCCCCAGACCGTCTAGACCTGATTTTGCTCTGAGATAAACATAACCAGTTTAGCTATTAAGCTTGTTACAGGGTTGGGAGAGACTTTTTATTAAAATGAAAAAGGATTCCGAAAGCAGCCGGACAGGGGAGGGGACTCGGACAAGCTCCCGGTCCTTTTCTGAGGTGGGGTGTCCACAGGGAAAGAGCAGAGAGGCCAGAGGCCCAGGCAGGGATCAAGGAAGACTAATCAAAGCGTAGAAACCAGCCAGCGCTTGACGAGCGCTGGAACCAGTGTCTGGGCAGGACAACGGTGGCCACCCCGCTCTGCCACTCACCCGATCCTGAGGTTCTGAGCCTCGCCTCCCGGGTGCTCAGTGGTAGAGATCTTCGTGTGGGTGTTGCAATGTGGGGAATGCAGAATTGGTCTTTGGGCTGAAGATTTTTTAAGTCCCAAGTGGGAGGGAGTGGAAGCAGTGCTAGGACTGGCTGTTCTCCAAAAAAAAAGAGGGTGGAGATGGGGCGGAACTCTGTTACCATCACTGTGGACTGTACGTTTAGCCTGTAGAAAACAAGGCGGGGACTAGGCAGAAGGCCGAAAGGAAAATGGCTTTATTTCCTGCTTCTGGCTCCTTCCTTGCTCTCCTAAACGATTCCAGCAAAGAGAGGGAGGTGGCCTGATGGAGACAGTCATTCCTGTCCTGCTGGCTCCAAGCCAGTCTTAGGACACCCTGGGTTTAGATTATTGAAACCACAGCAATACCCAGAAATTCTGGCTCACGTCAGGGAAAGTCCAGAATGATGGGAGGGAGCAAGGTCAGGGAATTGGAGGTTCAGCAGAATTGGGAAGGCTGTTCATGAAATGTGAGTCTAAAGGCCCTGAAAGGTAACCTAGCCCTCATACCTTCATGGCTGCTGGCCTGCCTCAGCCAGTACTACATATGACTGGTGAAGATGGGTTCCCAGGAGGGTGTTTAACTTCTGGACTTGCAAGTGGTTCTCCAAAGACGGGAAGAGGCTGCAGCTGGGAGAGTCCTAAGGCCCCGGGATGGGGAGGAGCCCTGCCCCCTTGATCTTTGACGCTGTAGAGGCTCTCTACATCACAGGTGTGTGTCTCCTGACCCTTACCTCAGAGGAGAGCTGTGGCAAGCCAGACAGCAGGACCCTCTGAAAAGAGACTTAGCTTCCATTTCTCTGGGGGAAATTCTGCTTGAGATTGTATAAACTAATGACTGCTGCAAGGTTTGGTATAGGGGAAGGTTTTTATTGTAGCGATGAGGGAGAGCACAGCCATGGGCTTCTGGAAGAGTCCAGAGAGAAATGGACTGAACGTGGCTGGAAAACCGATTGGGCCTGGGGTGACGAGATGGAGACAAAGAAAAGGACCAAGATAGGAAGACGAAAGAGAGAGCCCATGAATGTACATCGCTGAAAGACAGGTTACAGGCATGAGAAGCTGGGGGAGGGGCAACTTCTGAGCTGTGGGGAGTTTCGGGATGGCATTGGGGTGAGAAAAGCCAGGGTACCAGCCTGGATCTGAAACGTGGAACCTTGGTATGCTAATAGGCTCCAAAGAGAGCCATTTGTCCCTTCTGCCAGCGATGAGGAAATGGATTGCTGGCTTTGGACCCAGCAGAGACAAGGTCTCACACTGTAACCTAGGCATGGGATCCACTAACAGGCACCTATGGAGAGAGGATCCTCTCAGAACTGGGCACCTATGGAGAGTGTCACCAGCAGAGCAGAACGTCTATGGAGGGACATTTTGTGTGAGCATTCCTGGGGAGTCCATCTTGGCCCTGTGCACACTTTAAAGGTCTGCACCCCGGTTCTGTCTGGAAAGAGGCACATTGCTTGGGACTAAGATGCTGTGGGGGCCTCAAAAACAGGAAGTAATCATGTTAGTTGTCCGGGGTTTTTCCAGCCACAGCTCCTGGGAGGAGGGATTAGGGGAAGGCTGGACAGATTGAATGAGAAGCTTGACCCCACTCTCTTTAGCCAGCTAAGAGGCGACTGAGGACTGCTGGCTCTGAGACAGAGGTGAGGGACATTGCCTACCTTTTTTCTGCGCCATAGGAAAGGGTGCTGGGTAAATCTGGAGGCCAGAAGCACCAAGACAGAGGGTAACAGGTGGCACAAACTCCAGGACTACCTCAGCTGTGCAGATGTGGAAGAAGCTTGGTGCAGCGCCTCCTTCCTACAGAGTGTTTCATGTTAGAGTAGTGTTAAGACGGGTCCTCCAATAAGAGATCTCAGTCACTTGGAAAGCCAGCCGGGTGGATATCAGAAACCCCAAAGTTTACAAACTGGGAAGTCCCCGGAATGGAATGAGAATCTGCAGTTTCTCCTGGTACACAAAGAAGGGAAGTCTCTGAGTGATTTTAGTTTTGCTGAGCAGCTGACCTCTGAACACTGTGGGCTCAGCACCAGTTTAAACACGATAAAGCAGGAAAATCTCCACCTTAACTGCCTGCCTCTCTCGCTTGCTGGGCTCCACATCCAAACCCAGAAGCAGCTACTCCAAGCCACTTCTGTGTTTTCATTTCCCTCGATCCATGTTTTCCCGTGCTGTTTTTATTTTACTTTGAGAGGTGTTATGTGGCACTTGCTGATCTTAAACCATATGTAGCTTGAGAGGATGGTCTTGAGTTCTTGATCCTCCTGCTACTAACAAGTGCTGGGGTTCTAGGCATGGGACGCCACTCCCAGTTTGATTTTTTAAATTCCTTTTATGTTTATCCAATTGTGCTCTCATACCTCTTCTTGTTGTTTATTTATTTTACTATTGCTATTTTTCTGTTCTTCCTAACATGATTGTCTTGTCTTCTCTGTGTTTTAACTATGGATTCTATTTTCTCTTTTATACCTTCTTCCTTTATTTCACTCAAAGCTTTTCTACTTTTACCACATTTTTTTTTAATTTTGAGACAGAGTCTCTTATTTAGAAGTGGCTGTCCTAGAAGTAGAGATGTAGTCCAGGTTGATCTCAGACTCAGAGATCTGCATCCTAAATTCTGGGATTAAGCATACCTCATGATGCCCAGTTATGCTGGGTTTTGGCAGTTTATTTTTTGTAGTTTTGATGGCATCATAGTTGACTTCAGATTTGAAGAGCTTTTTTTTTTTTTTTTTTTTTTTTTAGTTTTTCAAGAGGAGGTTTCTCTGTGTAGCCCTGGCTGTCCTGGAATTCTCTCTGTAGACGTGGCTGGCCTTGACCTCGGAGATCTGCCTGCCTCTGCCTCCCTGAGTGCTGGGATGAAGGCCTGTGCCATCACCACTCAACTGAGGTGTATTTCTATATCTGGTTTGATTTGTATAGTTGTTGGTTCAACTGTTTATTATGTTTTTCTGTGAGGAATGCTGGGGATTGAGTCCTCAAATGAAGGCCACACCCACCCCAGCAGGTACACAAATCAGAACAGAGCAACATGAAAAACAACACGGCATGTGCCCTCTAAAACATCATAACGTCTCAATTACCATATCCAAGGTACTGAGATGGGTAACATGCTGGAGAAAAAATTCACAAGTTGGGTACAGCGATGGTTGGGTAGTAATCTAATAGAGAAGAAAGAAAACAGTATTCCAGCCAGTTAGAAAACAAGATCATAAGAATCAGCAAACCTCTTTAGGAACACTAACTGTAAATGGTCTAAATTTTATGTGTCTGGGCATTTTGCCTATAATATATATGCGCCTGGTACATGCAGAGGCGTTAATCTCCTGGGACCAGAGTTGCAGGTAGTTGTGAGCCTCCATGTGGGCTCTGGGAATCAACACACAAGTCATCTTGAGTAGCCAGTGCTAGAGGCTTGAGTCAGGCGTGGGGGAGCATGCTTTTCATCCAGGTGGAAGAGACAGGAAAGGTGACACAGTGAGACTGTTTTGCTTTTGTTTTGTCAAGACAGGGTTTCTCTGTGTCACCTGGGCTATCCTGAACTTGCTTTGTAGAGTGGGCTGGCCTTGAACTCACAGAGAACCACCAACATCTGCCTCCCAAGTGTGCCAGCCAGGCTGTGGTGGTTCATGCCTATAATCTCAGCACTCAGGAAGGCAGAGGCAAGCTGATCTCCATGAGTTCAAGGCCAGCCTGGTCTACTTACTGACTTCCATTACTGCCATAGAGAGACCATAGTTTCTCAAACAAAGAAACTATCCAAATACATGGGGACTGAACAATAGATTTCTGAATGACCATTGAAGAAATCAGAGAGGACATTACAAACTCCTAAGAACTGGGGGCAAGGGACGTGACTCAGTCGGTAAAGTTCTCACGTAGCATTCATGCGGCTATGAGTTCCCAAATCTCAAGGGCTTAGAAAAAAATCCACCCACAAATGAGTAGACGAAAGAGAGCAGGGCAGGAATTAAAGAATGGAGCCTAGAAGAACGCTGAAAGGTCAATGAAACTGCCATTGGTTGGTTTTTGAGAAGACAAGATTGACAAACCTTTAGTCATACAAACCAAAAGAAACAGAGACAGCTCAACTGAAATTAAGGATTGTCAGTTGTGGTAGAAGACTTTCCAACACAAGCACCAGCTCCTTACAACCTCAGGGACAGCCATTAGGTAAGGGCAAATCCTTGACTGCTCCAGGAAAGGATTTTAGGATGAGTCAAAGTGAAGCAGTCAGTGAGTTTAATTATTGAGACAGTCACAAAGAAAAGGACAGTGCGCGCGCCAGGACCTGGGTGTGTGCTACTTAAAGAGAACTGCTTATAGTTCCTTACAGTGGCTACATGATCCTATGTTTTTTCAGGTTGCATTCTCAAAGGATGCTGCCTCATCCTGCACAGCATCCGTCCCTGGGTACTTTTGGGGGAATAAAGAAATAACACAGAAGCCGAGGAGTGGTGGCACAGGCCTTTAATCCCAGCACTAGGGAGGCAGAAGCAGTCGGATCTCTAAGTTCGAGGCCAGCCTGGTCTACAGAGCGAGTTCCAGGGCTACACAGACCCTTCTACAAACGAACAAAAAACAAAAACAAGATAACACACTGACATGGGTGCAGAAGAGCTGGGGTCAGATGGAGAAGCTGCAGCACTCCAGAAGCTTAACGTGTATGCTACAGATGAACAAGGAGGTTACACCAGAACACGGAGTGAGGTTTAGCTAATCGTGGTGGGAGCACTCTGTGAAAGGTCGGTCTGCAGGCTGTAAACACAGGAGTGCAGAATGGACATTTTCTGCAGATAGGGTCAACATTTACTCTCTGACTGGAGGAAGGTTTTGCCATCTTGCTGAACCTCACCCAGGGCAAGGCTTTAACCCTGCTTTGAGTCCTTGATATGGCCATGCCCATGTAAACAACAAACACTCTGATAAAGTGCCTCCTTTCTTAGGCGATCACAGCTGACCCTGCCTCCCGTTTTCTTTATGCTGCTTTGGAAACCTAACACACTCAGTACTTCCCTGCAGGATGCAATTTGTGACAAGGTATAAAGATTAAACAAATGGGCTGGAGTGATAACTCAG